GCAGGGGGACATGTATGTAGTTGACTACGAGGGAAGATTCATGAGCTTGCTTCGATCTACGGGTATGTGGCAGACAAGAGAGTGTCAGACTCAGATGTTTCTTATGGGGCTTCGTCCAAGACTTCACCATTCCTTGTTTCCAGACGATTTCGCTCAATACGAGACGTAACTGACACCGCTATTTCACAGGAGACAGATATTAGTTCTCATATTATGAGACTACATCTCTAATCTTGTTTTAATGATTTTACAAACAATCCCTAATATTGTTTGTCTAGTGTTTGTGTTTGTTATTAGATATTCTAGATAAACATCAACGTTGGAGGTTGGATGGAATCGAGTATTAACGATCATATCCTTTGGAGGATGGAAGGAATATCGGAGTGAAGCAATGCATTCAAGTCAAATATCCAAGTTCAAGCTTCATCCGCAAAGTTTACCAAGAAGAGCATATTGAATATTAATCAAGCTTGGGTAAATAGACTAGGTGTTATATTATGTGTGTTAAATACTTCAAGCTCAATCATACACACACATACACGTTTTGTATATATATATATATATATAATATATATATATTAATGGGTATCCTTGTCATAGGAGGGGATTTCCTCCTTGACGCCTCTAAAATCACATGATTGAGCGACATTGTGGATGATCCGCTCCGTTGAACTTGATCTACATATTCTAAAACCCCAACACACCAAGTTTGGGGTGAATCTGTCGTCGTTTGACCCTCCATCGAGCCATGTGAAAAGTTCTATTCATTCAAAACCGTTAAAATTGATACGAGTGGATGAAGGGTCAAACGACGACGGGTTCACCCCAAACTTGGTGTGTTGGGGTTTTAGAATATGTAGATCAAGTTCAACGGAGCGGATCATCCATAATATTGCTCAATCATGTGATTTTAGAGGCGTCAAGGAGGAAATCCCCTCCTATGACAAGGATACCCATCTAATACTATTATAAAAGTGTGTTGGTATGTTAAAAAATTTCTTCCCAAAGTGACCTTAAATTTATGCTAAATCATATACATACATAACATATGTTAAAACATTTCTTACCAAAGTGCCCTTAAATTTATGCTAAACCATATACATACATAACATACCACATACATAAAACATACAATTTTATGTTAAAACACATACATACAAAACATAACACATACATAATAAAACATATAGATACATACATAAACCATAACTATGTATATTTATAGTTAACACTTAATGACGTTTTAATTGATACATGCATAATGTCATCAGTTACAATTGATAGTTACCTCAACGTATGACGTTTTGATTGATACTTAACGCTTAATTAATGTCATCAGTTACAATTGATGTCATATGTTACAATTTATTTATATTGGCTATACGTGAATGCTTAGCTGTACGTGAATTTTATGTTGACATAAAATTATGAACGGATGTATAGTGATAATTATGAACGGATGTATAGTGTTCTTATGAACGAAGGAATATAAATTTTAAATTTCGGTGATACGTGAATGCTTATGTTGCTTGCTAAATTAATGTCATCAGTTACAATTGATTTTGTCTCTCATAACTATGTAATAAATGTTATTTACACTTTTGTCTCTTCTATCTCATATAAATATACTACATACTCAACTTTCATCTTACCAAATCTTATCGAATCCTACCAAAAAAAATAGAGATGGAAGCAACACTATGTGATTCAAAAAGGTTAGTAAAATCATATTTTTTTGTAAGGTATAAACTCTGAATTATCTCTATAATTTATATTTTTTTTTCGTGAAGCCTGTCATCTGATCAAGATGGAACTAATGATCAATCCAACATCATGATCCGAGAGTTAAAAATTTATCAAAAATAATGGAGTATAATTGTTCGTGTCTTACATAATACTATAGACTCCTTTAAGAATGGAGAAGGGAATAAACAAAAGCTAATTCTAATTGATGAAGAGGTGATACAAATTTCACATTGTTATTATTTCATTTAATTATCATATTACCATGATTACGTAATTTATTCTACATTGTGTATTTTGTAGGGAATACTTATCCAAGCAATTTTATTTAATAAGCTGATAGAAAAGTTCAGCGGTTAATTGATAAAGGGGGAGACGTATAATATAACCAATGGAGAAGTAAAGCCTCCAAATTTGAAATATCCAACAATTAATCCAGAAAAGGAGTTGGCATATAACCAATGGAGAAGTAAAGCCTCCAAATTTGAAATATCCAACAATTAATCCAGAAAAGGAGTTGGCACTCACAACAAAGACAATCATTCGAGAAACAAAAAAAATTGTATCATTGGAAAAGTTGAAACCAACATTCCTTTCATTTAAAGATGCTTCTGTTTTTTATGATGGAATAATACCTTTTGGTAAGTTTTTTTTAAAATATTATGCGAAAAATAATTCATATTAATAATCACTAAAATTTCTCTGTTGCAGATGTTGTTGGATTCGTGACAACTGTGAAACCAATTTTTACTAATCCCAAATCCAAAAGAAGGGAGGTCATAATTATGAATAAAGAGTAAGAATTTAATATTATTGTTTATTATTATGTACTGATTATTGGTAAGAAAACTAATGTTTTTTTAAAAAATTTAGATTTGATCAAATTTCGATGACACTATGGGGTGATTTAGCGGAGATTGAAGGATCGTCTTTGGAGAATTTGAAAGATGCGAAACCCGTTGTTGCATTTCTAAGCGTAATTGGTAGACGTTATTTAGGTAAAAAAAATAACGACAAGCATGGTTTTAAAATGATGTGAAAATATTTTAATTTCAAGTTTGTTTTATTTTTAGGGGAGTTTCAATTATCTACAAAACCACACCAAACCTTTCGGTTTTCGGTTATTTTTTTGCGGTTTGGTGCGGTTTTTTTCTTTCCTCGGTTTTTTCGGTTATGGTTCGGCTTTGGTGTGGTTATTTTTTTGGTTATCGGTTTTCAAGTTATAGCCCTAACACTATGGGTCAATTTAGCAGAGATTGAAGGATCATCTATGGAGGACTTGAAAGATGCAAAAAACCGTTGTTGCATTGCTAAGCGTAATTGGTAGACGTTATTTAGGTAAAAAAAATAACTACAAGAATGATTTAAAAAAGATGTGAAAATCTTTTAATTTCATGTCTATTTTATTTTTAGGTGAGTTTTAATTATCTACAAAGCAATCAACTATTGTGCTCGTGAATCCTAAAATTCCACAATGTAGAGAAATGATAGACTGCTGTGTAAGTTTTATCTCTTTTATTTCAAAGTTTTAAAATGAGTTTTTCTATATATACCCCTTAATTTATATGTAACTTTAAAATTACATCCTACATTATTGTTCTTGCAAAACTATCATCAAAAAATAATTATTTGGGTCATTTCTTTCTTAATATATAAGCAAGAATATAATGTTAATTTTAATATTACATTGTTCAAATTATAAATTATAATCACTTGTGGTGTAAGTTTCAAGATATCTATAATCAAAGGAGCATATATGGAAAATCCATTTTATAAAAAATAAATTGTTCATTAATTTTAACTCTTACTTCTCATAAATTTTAGACTTGGTAATTCAAACAGTGAGAGTAGTAAAATGTGTTGTCGACACCAACAAAAAGGATCATTCAAGCAAATAGGGTCAAGCTGACTGATGTTATCAATACTTTGCCTCAATTGTCTAAGGTATGTTAAATTTAGTAATAATGAAAACTAATTTATTTGATCATCTAAGTTTTAATGTTATTTTACTTTTCTCCAGAGTATGTTTTGCTCATTTGCGGCAAAAGTTATTACAATAATTAATAAGGAAGAACCATTTTTTTAGTGCATGTGCAAAATACAAAAAGGCAGTGCATGAGATTAATGGCAGCAAGGAAAATTACACAAACTGTAAAAATGAAGATTCAGATTGGACAATCAAGTTGGATAATATACATTAATCTCTATATCATTATTAATATATATTTACAATTTCTTATGCAAAAAAATTCATTGCAAGTATAACTTGCGCCTAGAGGTAAATGATCGAACAGATACAGCATATGTAACTTTATTTGACGAAGCAGAAATTTTGATTGGTTGCACAGCTATTACATATGTAGAGATGTTTGAGGATGAATCTTCTGAATGTTACAAGAAAATGAAATCATGCTTAGAAAAAGAATATGTTTTCCTTGTGAAGATAAATAAAAAAGAAGAATCCAATCGAAAAGCAAGATGTATAATTGCGCAGGAGGTTCGAAAAGTAGAAGAAATACACCCCTAGCTGTGGAAACTGGAGAAACTGGTAGTAGCAAAGTTATTGACGGCAGAAAAAGACTGTTTGGGCTTAAGAGTGAAATAATGAAGAAAAAAAATGAAAATAGAACCAAATACTTCAAGCGCCTAAAATTTGTATTTCTTTGCTTATTTCAATAAAATGAAAATTTATCTGTTACTTCGTTTCACAACACACACCAAGAGTCATGTCACCTATAGTAATTAGTAATTAACCTTTTAAGTATTAGCTCTTTATTTATCTATGAACAATTATTTTTATCTCCTTTCTTTCTCTACAAGCTCTCTCAAAGTTCATTATTGCATCAAAAAAGGGTTTATATCGGATTTTATTTCAATTACCCATGAATAATCATTAAAATTAGAATGATACTTCAAGTTTCCATGGAACCAAAAGCATATTACAATGTTAGGAATTTCTATGGAATTTTATTTCACTAAATCCGTTTTTGTTTGAATTTTTGTGATTAAATCAGAAACACAGAAGTATGAGTGACGTGGATTTCATGATATCTTCACTCGGAAATTATTTTGACGATTTGAGTCTATGTTGTTTTAGTTTATAGCTCTGTGAAGTTTTAGCGCATTTAGATCTCGATATCTGATCCGATTCTTCTAGATTTTGAATTTTGCTGCAATTTTAAGTTTGGTTTAGCTGTCGCAGGTGTGGTTATGGGTGATTTCATTAAGTTTTGTGCTGTGATTTGTCTAATCTTTTTTATATCATATGTGAAAATTAAAGTATTTCGTGATATCTTTTTGTGGATGGTCTAGGAGGAACAGGTAAAACTTTCCTTTATCGTGCATTGCTTGCAAATCTAAGATCAAGAAAAAGATGATAGCATTAGCAACAACGACATCAGGAGTGGCTGCAGCAATAATGCCAGGAGGGCGAACTGCACATTCGCGATTCAAAATTCCAATTACTGCTAATGAGACCACAATGTGCAATATATCAAAGCAGGATGGAACATCAAAATTGATACGATTGGCATCACTTATAATATGGGATGAAGCACCTATGGCAAAAAGATTTGCGATTGAGACGGTTGACAGAACATTGAGGGATGTAATGGGTGACAAAAGAATTTTTGGTGGAAAAGTAGTCGTGTTTGGAGGTGATTTTCGTCAAGTTCTACCAGTTGTTCCACGGGGCACTAGAGCAGAAACAATCAATGCAAGTCTTGTGAAATCATATCTCTGGGAAAAAATAGAGAAATTATCTCTCACTATTAATATGAGGGCAAAGACTGATCAAGTATTTGGAGAGTTCTTATTGCGCGTGGGGAATGGAGAGGAACCCACAATAGATGAGAATTTGATACTTCTTCCACATGAAATGGTAATAGAATATGACAATGATGAAAACTCTAAAAAAAATTGATTGATGTTATCTTTCCATCATTACAAGCAAATTCATTGTAGGCATCAAAAAATGCTCATAGATATCCAAATACTGCTCAAGATAAAGAGAAAATGATGAATGTCATCATCTTAGTCAGAGGGGGATCATCCAAGGGAAGCGAAACAACATAGAAGAACAATGTGCACACCAACAACAAAATACACTGACAGGCGACATGCATAGGCGCGGTAGCCCATGGTGACGCGCCTAAGGCACGACAGCCCATAGTGACGCGCCTAAAGCACGGCAGTCCATGGTAACGGGCCTAAGGCGCGGCAGCAAAGGGTGACGCGCAAACACAGTGGCCTCTTATGTAAATTGTTGGTAATTTTTAAGATCTCTTGAAGGTCCACGTGGCAGCATATCAGAAAGAGAACGTGTA